AAAGTGAGCACTGACACTTACCCTCCTCCCCACCTAGTTTGATCTTGTCATGTACACAGCACGTATTTCCTTCTCAAGCCCAGTTTCTCATAGAGCACAGACCTTGACACCCCTCAGCTGCAGAGATGAATAATCAAACAGTAACTTACTCAGAACTGAATCTGGCCAAGAAGCCAAAAAGGCAGCAAATCAAACCTAAGGACGGTGATAGCTCCTTTTCAGTCACTGAGCGGGAAATGACTTCTGTGGAATTAAACTTTCATAATGCTTCTCAAGATCTTCAAAAGAAGGACACGAATCCTCACTGCAAAGGTAAATCATCTAATCAGTTCTCGGTACAACTGCCCTAGAATGTGCAGTTCTAGGGCCCAAATGTGGGGAAACAGTGAAAATGAAGACATGGAGCAAAGGTATTCAGATTAAGGGAGTAGGGTGGTCTTCATTTTTGAGGATCAGACCTGAAGTATGGATATCGTGTTCTACTATGAAATCTGAAGGTGAATTCTGTCCAGGCATTGTTGAAATTTGTGGCCTTTGATGAATAACTCGTGGGCTATTATTTTACTGAAAATGCAATAGTATATTCCGAGAGAAAAATTACAATGTGGACTGTGGGTTCAGTGTCCAGTATTTCTGTATATGATTCCCTGTGCATCTGGGTTCTCCTGTATGTAAACACTCTGAACACTGGCTCCATCCATCCTTTCTCAATGTTTGCATTTCTCTGTCTGCACATCTCCCATCACCTCCAGGGAAGCTCATTGCTGGGACCCTGGGACTCATCTGCCTTGTCTTGATGGCCGGTGTAATAACCATGACAATCAAAGTTATTACTCCTTGTAAGTTGTTGAAAGATAATAAGGAAATGTATTGCTTTAATGATTTGTAAGTGCCTCTAATTATTAATAATATTAAGGAAGAGAACTTTCAGTATAATGCATGTATTTGGACTCAATGTTTATATTTGGACTTAATATTGAAAGATTACTGTGAATTTGTAAAAAATATAAATAATGATGTAGAATGTGTATATATATGTGTTTATATATATATACACTTATATGTATACATTCTGCATATATTTTTAGAAATCTGCACAGAATTATTGAACAATAGAAGTTAATTTTTCAGAGTGCTTGTATCAAATACTCTAAAAGATGGTAAAGTTTGGTTCATTAGGCTGTTTTTCCCCAAAAAACACTTGTTGTTACCTGCATGTGTAGGAATTGAATTTCAGTAATTAAATTTTTCCCCAAAGACCTTCATGACTTTATTAATTGTTTTTGTTATTTTTATTTCAGTATTCTAATAATAAACATATCACATTTCAAATAGGAAAACGAAATATTATGAGTTATTTGTAGCATAGTAATCTTTCTAAGAATTACTGTAAATTTTTTTAGCTAGTGTAAAACCGGAACAGAACAATTCTTCTCCAATAACAAGAACTGAGAAAGGTATGTGACCATTTATAAAGTTCTGATATTAGTGCAGACTATATTTTGTCCCTATATTAGGGCACACAAAAATGATAATAAATTTGAAAAGCTAAAATTGAGCAATATATTTTCTTAAATAAAGAATAGGAGAGCATTCCTTCTTGTGTAACAATAAGATGAAATATTTCTAAGAAATCAATAGACCATTATATATATACCCACCAAAATCAGATAAAGGCAGTGCATGTGCATTTTCAGGACGTGTATAGCATATAGTCTTTGTTTGTTTGCCTTATATGGGTACATAAAGTAGAGGTCAAGATGCTAACTTTCTGTGCATATATATACGTGGCATTTTGTGTTTTGTTTTACATTGCACCAGTTTGTGAAGGTATGCATCTCGGTTACGTACATATTTGTTTGTACCTATGCAAGTATGTCAATTAATATTTATTTATTAATTCAAATCATTTTGGTAGTAACTCATAATCTTTCTTAGGGGATCACTGTGGTCGTTGTCCAAAGGCCTGGTTTATGTATTCCAACAACTGTTATTACATTAGTACTGAAAGAAAATCATGGAATGAGAGTCAGTTGGAATGTGCCTCTAAGAAATCTAATCTGCTTTACATAGATAATGAAGAAGAAAAGGTAAGACTTTTAAATGTTTCAAACATTTTATGGAAAGTTTATTTCAGTTAATTTTATGTCTGTAGGATTCATGCATATTTTAGTATACAGTTGTAGTGTATTTATTCTCAAGGCTGTTTAATACTCCATTTGATTTTACAATATTTTATTTATATTATTAGGCTATTACTCCACATTTACTTATTTTAGTACTATTTCTCATGAAAAACAATACTTCTGTAAAT